TCTAATTCTCCTAGGATCATTAGTCTTCTGAGATTTTCAGTCTCTTCCAGGTTCAGTTTCTACAAATTATATGAACCGTAGAAGTGTGTCCATTTCATTCATGCTTTTACATGTATTTGCACAGTTGAGCAAATTACTCCCTTAAGAGGTATTCAATTTCCCCTGCTTCGGTGGTTCCCCTTTTATAATTTTTTATCTTGAGTAATAATATTGTCACCCTATTCTTATTTTTCAGTTGTTGGCTAGTTATTTATCTTTAATATTTTTCGAGGAACTGGATTTTGAAACTACTTTCTTAAAAATGTTACATCTCATTTATATCTTCTTTTACCTTTTAAAATTCCTTCTTTCTGTCTTTCATTGAATTTGTTAATTTTTATAAGAACTCCTTGAGTCAGATGTTTTGATTGTTTTACTCTTGATCTTACATTAATACAAGTATTTACACCAGGAATTTACTCTAAAATGGATCCCATAGGCTCCCTCTTGGGCTCTGAAGTAAGATGTTTTCTTTATTTTTTTTGCCTTTAACAATTTGCAACTTAGATTACTTTTTCTGATCCCAAGGTTTTAAAGAAGAGAATTAAAAAAAATTTCCCAGTGGAAAAGCTGTTTATTTTAAATTTTCACTGTTACTTTTTCATGGTTTCCAGAGAAGAAAAAAGTGTTGACTTGCGCAACCATGCAGTGTGGAATTCCCCTCCCTTATGACTTTGCTTTCTGGGAGTTGGCAGGCGGAGAGAGACGAATTAGTCGAGGTTAATTTACTATTCATGAACGAAGATAAACATGGCCAGACAACTGCTTACGTGTCATGCCAGTCCAACAAGACACACGCTGAGCTTCTAAGCAAAATTTTAAAATCCTCATGAAACCCAGTCAGGGGAATGCCTTTTTAAAGTGATGACTTTTTGGATCTCATTTACTGAAGCAGTACATGTGAGCACCATATTAAGTACCTTATTATATATTTCTACCTTTGCCTAAGGCTATTTCTGGAGCTAGTTTCAGGGTTGTTAAAGTTAAGCATGCTGTGTATTCAAGGACAAACGGAATGTTTAAGGTTGCTTTTTGAATGCAGATAGCGAAAGACATCAGACCAAAGTGGAAAAAGCCTGCACTTTGGAGACAGGTGAAACCTGAGTTCAAATTCTTCAAAATATACTTCTCCAAGTTTCCCCTGCTTACGGTGGGGTCTTCATCCTGGCACTCAAATATCGCAGGATGCTCTTTCTCATCCCCGCAGCCCTCCCCAAATGCCCAGAGAAACCCAGAACACCAAGTTCATTTGACTGATTTCTGGAGTCTCTAGACTCTTCGCCTGAACCCTTTTAAACATCCCATATTCAAAAGGTACAAACTTCTAGCTGTAAAATAAATTAGATCAGGTGATGTAATGCACAGCATGTTGACTAGAGTTAAGAATACTATATTGCATATTTGAAAGTTGCTAAAAGAGCAGATCTTACATGTTCTCAACACCAGATAAAAAATTGCTGCTGTGTGGTGGTGGTTGTTGAGTAGACTTATTGTGGTGATTATTTTGCAATAGATATGATAGCAAATCATCCTGTTGTACACCAGAAACTAAAGCTATATGCCAATTATATTTCAGTGCTTAAAAATCCTATAGTCCCCAAAGTAGGGCTCTACCTTTATTCTGCCGAGGGCTGGTATTGGGTTGGAAACATCAGCTGTGGAAGCTGTAACATCTCTGTCTAGGTTGTTCCTTATCTGGGTCAGTGCCAAACAAAGCCATTTAGCTTTTGCCAGCAAGTGGCAGTCGTTCCTGGGGTGAGGTCTGCCTCTGCTCGATGGCACTGCTGAACCGAGAGGATGACAGGACAGTTTGAAAGTGGAGAGAACAAAAGGGGATTAAAATAACACCCTTAGGTACATTCAAATATGGAAAAAAATTGCAGTTCAGGATCCAAATTCCCTATTTGTTAGGTTTGGAAGTTCCTTCCGCACTCACTGTCCTGGCAGCCACCATTTAATTTATGCTTAAATGCTACTTCCTCAAGAGGCCAACCCGATTCCCAACCTCAGTGAGGTCCTCTGGTCACACTCCAGTAACAGTCCAGCGCTTCCTTCCACTAAGAATTTGATGATTTGTTACCTTCCCACACTTAGGGTAATTTTTTTTAAGTGTGTCCATTGGCCAAGTATTGTGCCAAGGGTTCCACGAGATTATCTCTCAAGCACATTATGAGAGAAGTACTATTACCCCTGCTTCACCGCAAACTGAAGAACACCTGCTCCCCATCATTGGGTGGGGAGCAAAGTTGGGGTTCTTATAAAAGGGCCTGACTTCGGGGCCATGCCCTAAGTTAACCACTGCCCTACACAGAGTCAGAATAGGGCCCACCACCAGTGTGTGCTTGGCTCTTAGTAGGTGCTTCATAAATGTTGACTGAGAGAAGAGTTTTCTGCTTTGGCTGCTTTGGCTCAGTGGATTGAGCACCGGCCTGTGAACCAAAGGGTTGCAGGTTTGATTCCCAGTCAGGGCACATGCCTGGGTTGCAGGCCAGGTCCCCAGAAGGGGGCATGTGTGAGAGGCAACCACACATGATGTTTCTCTCCCTCCATTCTCTTCTCTGGAAAAATAAATAGAATCTTTTTTAGAAAAGAGAGATTTCTTAGACCACATAATCACTTCCAGTTGACCCATCTGAGATTTTGAATTTAAAGCACCCCTTCCCCAGCTATAATTTTTAAGCCAGGGTATGTTAGTATCAGGAAGTGACGTCTCATTACTCAGGCTCACACACCTGACCCTTACGCATGCTTCAGACATGCCCTTCGTGACCTCTCCTACCAGCAGGAGAGGCTCTCAGTCTGCTCAGTGGTGCTCTAGTCCCCTCTCCTTCCAGCTTCTGGCCTGGCAACCCCCAATCACACTCATTCTGAACACGTGGCTTTGCACTGACCAGCTATGTGACATGATGGAAGTTAGTCTTCCTCTCCAAGCCTTAGTTTCTTCACTTATAAAAAACAGGAAATACGGAGATGTAGCAATGAGGTAGCACAAAGGGAAGCACTCACCATAATGCCTGGCAGAGGACGGACTCAATAGATGTTAGTGATGTTTATTCCTCAGCTCCCGGGTTACAGAGCGTTCTAGAGAATCTCAAAGTATCACCCAAACCTGAGCATTAGTCTTTAATGGGGAACACACTGCAACCCAGCAATCCTTCTTCCATCCTGTCGGCATGGATAATCATCAGGTTATCTATCTCTGGCTTTATCTTCTTCTATCCGCTTACTTCCTTCTTCCTCCCTTTTAGTTTTTAACTACCTCTAAAATATTCCCACTTTTATAGTCTCTTACCATTGTGTAAGGATCCTGGAATACATTCTGTACCGTCTCTCTTACCACCAAAAATGCAAATAACCACCAGCAGCTGCTGAGATTTGCAGGCAAAAGAGATGAGGCAGAATCCCCATTCCAGTGCTCACTGGACAGGTCACTTAACTTGCTGACTTGTGGATTCCTCATTTTAAACGGGAATAGCCGCTTTTCTTCATAGGGTGTTGTAAAGATGATTTGAGCTGCAGTATTTCTGAAAACAGTTCAATAATTATACATTCGTTCTGTTCATTCATTCATTCCCAGTTGGTAGCTCTCATAGAGAGTGGCTGAGTCCAAGGCCCACAATGTAGACACAGAAAGGGAAAATACAGAGTAAGTATGGTATCTCATAGATGAAGCTAACTAATCACCCTACAAAGTTGGAGTTTATCATCCAACTCATCCATTAAAAAGCAGTCCTATACCTTAAATGTGACACAGACAGGAATCTTGGGCAATTTAACTTGGCATGAACTGATGAAGTAACTCCAGTTTTAGTTTAGGGAAAAGATTTAACTAAAGAAGCAGCCGGTCAGGAAGAGGATCCCCTTATTAGTTAACATAAGAGGAGCCAAAAGGTAGAGAAAGTTTAATCCAACTCGCATGAGGCTATGAAATTGACCCAGTTACAAGCTCCTGACCAGTTTAGTATACTGTGCAAGGGAAATGAAGGGCCTCAAAAGTTAAAATATATCCCAGTACAAAGCTATGATAATTAAAACAGTGTGATACCGATACAAGAGAACAATAAACACAGCCCCAGGAGTCCTGAGAATGTGGCATATGATACATGACATTTGAAACCAGCACAGAAAAGTGCTGGGATATTTAATCCAATTGGGACAACTAATTTTGTGAAAGTATATTATGAGTTGAATTGTGTTGCCCCAATAAGATATTTTGGAGTCCTCATCCCTGGTACCTATAAGTATGATCTTATTTGGAAATGGTGTCTTTGCAGATCTAACCAAATGAAGACGCCATCACACTGGATCCGTGTGGCCCTAATCCGAAAGCCAGTCTTTACAGGTTTAGAAATGGACACCAAGGGAAGAATGCCATGTGACAGGAGCAATGGAGTGCCACTGCCATGACTCAAGAAAGACAAAAACAGCACCTCATGTTAACTTTCACTTTTGAGAAATCGTTTTCCATAACTTATTTAATTTACTCATCTAAGCTATATCAATTTAAAATTCTTAATTAGAGTATTAAAATTCCTATCCTCTTAGTATTTCCAAGAACTCCTTGTCTCATGTAGATAGACATTAACTAGTTCTTGTTTGCCCCTCATGGAGAATTCCCCATTCACAGCAGAGGCTTCTGGGGGCTCCCACACCCACATGCATGGCTCCGATGACCATGTCTACGTTGGAGACTCCTCGGTCCACATGCTCTGGAAATAAACGTGCTCCCCATGCCCCTGCCAAAGAGCCTGGAACAGGGTTCTGCAACCTACATGATAAATACTTAAATAGACACAAAAGGACCATCTTTTTAAGGATTCAGCTATTTTTAGAACTAATTTACAGATTAGATATGAATAATTAGAAAGTGATTCTCTAGCATTAATCATGGAAACAAGCAAATGGATTAAAAATGTTCCAGGTGACTAACTGCCTAAGTGCCTGAATAAGTGAATACAAAATAAATTTTTAAAATCTTTATTTAAAAGCTTTTAAATGCATTGTTCCGTAAAAATTATACACGTTTCTACAATATTTACATATTCCTTCTTACTTCTCTTGGTTTGAATTGGACCAAGAAACGGTCAATGAAATTTTGAAAGCTTCCAGGATTTCTTCTGAAAGTAAGCATTTAAAAATACTATATACCGTACATGAACCTCCAAATAAAAACAGAAATAAAACTGCACAAAACCAGAGAAAAGGAAAAATTCCATCATGTCTGTTGAAGTGGTTAGAAAGGGTCCCGGGGAATTACTTCCTGTCCCAGGAAGCAGGATTATGAGGGAGCATTCGCTGTTATCGCTAACCCTTCTGTGGCACACGGAAAGGTTCACATGCAACCGTGGTTTGTTTTTTAAAGTCACTGCAGCTTTCAGATCAAGGCAATGGTGCCAAATAGGCTCTTTACACTTTCACCTAAACCAAGGCACTCCCCTTGGTTAATATCAACGAAGACACAATTTCTGAAATCATGATCTTTTCATGAAATCAAAGCAGAAAACTGTTCAGGACAAGCAGAACCTTTCGGGCTGGTGCATCTTGGTTGATCTTATCAAAATTCTTCAGAACCTGCTGTGACTCTATAGCCAATCAAGGACTCTTTCCCACCTTCATCCACAGGCAGCTCCACCAACACGTGGGGCTTGTCATAACCAGAGGAGGTGGTAGTGCTTCTCAGCATTACGGGCTCTGGCTCTCCCGTATTTACTTCAGTTTTGTTATTTGGAGGAAATTCTGAGTCAGATGAACAACTGATCGATTCCACAACACCACTATCAGAACCATTTCTGGAGTGGTAAGAGTTTAAAGTGAAGCTGCAGGGTTCAGACTGGTTACTACTACTTGAATGGGCAGAATCCGCCTTCCTTACTGGGGTCAGAGGGCTACCAGGGGCTATGTCGGAAGTGTTTTCTTCAGTGATCACCACTTCTGTCTCACTAGAAAGGTCGTTGGGTTCTCCTTTCCCTGGATCGTCTTCAGTCTGTGTACTTGAAATTGTTGCTGGAGACCACTGTTCTTCCCAGACCACCTTCTCATTTTCAGGGACAATTTGTTCGTAGGTGATGGGTGATATATATTTTGATTCTGATTTTACATCTGAAGAGGCATGTTTTACCACAGATACCTAAGGAAGAGGAATCAGATTAAAAATAACAGCTATTAAACTTATACACCCACCCGTCTTCAAAAAAATGGTCTAAGGGTTAACGGACAACTAAATATACCACTAAATGGCACGTTTAGAATAACAGTATAATAAAATCTGATGGTTGCTTTTTCTTTCTTTTTAATGAAAATATACTAGTTTAAGATCAGAAATGATTTTTTAAAAGTGACTATCTCAACAGTGTATGTTGATTTTGGTGTATTACCTTTCACATGTATGCCCATTACATTTGTAATGGGAGTCCAGCTACTGATACAGTATCTTTACCATGTACCTTCATAGACATAATTTCTATTCACTTATCTAATTTCTTTATATTGATGATTAAACAATTTCTCCAACAGTAGATGTTAAAGTGTTAACAAATTTTACTATTTATAGAACATGGTGAAATAAATATTCTTACATATGTTTTTATTTAGAAAATTATCTTTCAGAAAAAATTCTTAAGAGTGGAATTACTGAGTCCCAAATGTGGCATGTTTATGGAACTACAAAGCTATATATCCACTGCACGCTTATCTTCTCACCAGGGCTATATGACTTTTTAACATCACGTACTAGTTGTACAATTGCTGTTGCTCTAGGACATTCAGGTTTATTTTTCCTTCTCCAGTGGGTGTAAAATGGCATAATATGAGATCGCTGTGTGCTTAATTTCTAGGAAGAATGAATATTATGTGTGAATTGTCTACTACTTGTTGATAGTTCTTATCTACTTTATTTAAGTGTAATGTGTTTGTAATAAATTTAAATGTGCCCTTTGAATGTCACAGATATTATTCCTGTCATATTTGATTCAAAAAGCTGTAATTATTAGTATTTAAATGTCCTTTTCATCATAAAAGGATTTTAAATGTTAGACATTAGAATGTCAAACTTCTATTTTAATCTTACTTTTGACCATATTGCTTTCTATACTCCAACCACAGTGAAATGTTTCTGTATTTGCAGGTTTTCAAAGGCCATGCTTTCTTGATGCTGGACCTTAGCACACACTGTCCCTTGGTACCTGGATAAACTCCTACCTGTCCCTCTACACTGCAACAGCACAGCCTAAGGACAAAAAGTCCTCGATGGCACATACATAATTCCTTTGTTGAACCTATCACACTGCATACACACTGAATACTTACCTTTTCCTCCCACCAGACTTTAAGTTCCTTAAACAGACTTGTCTAACTGTACTTCTGCCACATGTATAAAAAAGTACCTGGTGTGTGGTGAAAAGTATGTGGTTTTGAATGTATGGTGGTGTTAAGTAACTTTTTCCATAGGTGACATGCTGCTAAACATCATTTTACTTCTAAAAATTTTTAAGAAACTATAAAAAATGTTCAAATCAACATTTTAGTGTATATAATTAAAGAGCAATACTTAAATTCATTACCAAGGACTTGGGTAACATGATGCTTTTTCTCTTAAATGGATTTATTTTCTTGATGTTACAACACACAATTACCAGGGTAAGTACCAGAAAGAGTAGGACGGCAGCAACAATTGGAATCCAAACAGAATCTGGAAAGAAGAAAAAGAAAACCCTCACAAATTGGAATGAAGATGGACTACTGCTATAATCAAATAAAGTCTTTCAGAGGTTCTGTATACAGATGGCGTTGGGGAGCACGGTCAGAGAGGTACGGGAGTGCTGGCACCAAAGTCGGGAGAGATGAGTAAAAGATTACATCCCCATCCTCCACAACAGCATCTTCTTCCCAGCTCCGCAACCCTAGACTTTCTGGGACCACGCTGTCAGGCACCGTGTAGCTACAACAGCTTTTTCCCTAACAATTTCCTTACAGTGCCAATGCAGGTTTCCAGAGTTACACTTTCATCTCAAAGAGGCAAAAGAAGAATTTTTAAAATATATTTCTATAATCATTAAAATATAATTCTATAAAGTGTTTATAATAATCCAGTCCCGCTCCACAGAACTGAGTTACATTTTACATTGAAGACTGCAAGCACTTCCGAAGATACACAGATGTATGTGCACGCGCACACACAGACAGGAAAGCTGCAGAGGAGCACAGTCCCCGCTCCCTCAGGAGGCTCGTTTCGGGGCCTGTACGTCTATTGCCACTGCTCTGTATTTTCCTCTAAGGCTGCTTTTATTTTCAGCATTTTTCCCCTCGCGAATTAACAGCACTCTACCTGTCATGGGGGTGATTGGCCTCTTTCACAGCTTTTCATTACCTTTCATGAAAAATTAATTCTGGAGGTCACTACTAAATGAATGCTTGTAGCACACCTGTTACAGGATGTGAAAACAATTAACGTATTACAGCAGTAAAAAGATAAAAAAACAACTATATAATGAAACTAGCACTGGGCTCATGAGCATAGACAGGCAGGTGGGGACAGGGCCACCGTGTGGCTGCAATATCAGCCCAGTTTATCATTTAGGCTTTTTTTTCCTTAGATAAGTCTGGGTCATTTGCATTCTTTTCAAATTTTGTATATTAAGATTTAATATTTTAAAATAGCATTAGGCAAACTGGCATAAAATATTCTGCATTATTTTAAGTCACCCATTTAAAATCCTTGTAATAAAGGCCTTAAAGGTATTATTAGTACTACATTTTAGGTGTTTGGTCTGATTTTTCAGCCCAGATTTTCATTTTTAAAAAGATATTTGTATCATAAAATCTTTTGTACATTTTTAACCTAGAAAATATATTCTAAAAATATCCTAAAAATTAAAGAAAGATATATACATGAAGTCATCAAAACATTATAGAGAAAAATGTATAAATAATCAAAAAGTCTAAAAACTGGGGAACATTAAGTAGAATACAATCTAATGATGAAATATTCTATACACATTGGAAGATAATATTAATAAAGTATGTGAAATAATATGAAAAAATATTTATAATATATGCTTAAATTAGTATACCAAATTATATATACTACATAATATCATCATGGTTATATAGAAAAAAACAGGATGGGAAAACCCCACTGAACTATGAGAACTAAGTATTTGTTTCGATGGTAGAACTACAGGTAATTTTGTTTTCTTCTGGCTTTTTATATTTTATATACTATCTATAATGAATACTTAAATTTCAAAATGTCAAAAAAGGCCCCAATTTTTGTCACAGCACCTGCCACCTGAGAATGACAGTTCCAAAGTCCTGTTATTATGTACATCCACCACATGCAATAAAAGGATGAAATCATTATTTTAAAATGTTAAAAAAAGTGACCCACAATCCATTATTTAAACGGATCTGTATTTATTTTTTTAAGATTTTATTTACTTTTTTGAAAAGAGGAAGGGAGGAGAAAGAAAGAGAAAGACAGATATAGGAGAGAACATGGTGCCTCTCACATGTCCCCAGGCATGTGCCCTGACAGGGAATCAAACTGGCAACCCTTCAGTTTTCGGGATAATGCCCAACCCACTGGACCACATCAGTCAGGGCTATATTTATTTTTTAATATTAATTTCCAGTGCTCGTGCAATTGACACATCACAAAATTTTAAACCATTAGTATTCCCACTATTCAGTTTTTAAACTTACTGTGCTCATATAGAACATACATGACTATACAGTATACCTTGAATATATACCATCTTGCTACATTGAAAAAACTGGCTTATATGCATAACCCTGAAATGTACACAATTATGCACAGTTTTACGTATTAATTACTTTATCTTTCTTGCATGAAAAGGTTATCACATGGCTTTCTAAACTGGTTGTTTTGTATCTTTTAATGACTGACAGGCAGTCTTCTTTACAATTTTGAACTTCTCTGAGGAATGGAACTAGTTTTAAAAGAGCAGAGATTATGCCCTGGCTGGGTTGCTTGGTTGGTTGGACCATCTCTCCGTACACCAAAAGGTTGTGGGTTCAATTCCCAGTCAGGGTGTATGTCTACGTTGCAGGTTCGATCTCTGGTTGGAGGCACATACAGGAAGCAACCAATTGATCTCTCTCTCTCACACTGATGTCTCTCTCTCACTCCCTCCCTCTCTCTCTAAAAGCAGTAAGAAAAGCAGAGTACTGAAATTGAAAACTTCCGTTTTTCACACTATCCTATGTTAGTTATCACTCCCTATATTTAGGCAAAAATGGGAAGAACTTACCTCCTACGCTGTTATGATCAATAATGGAAAAACAAAGTTCTCTGGACTTTTCAGTTTTAAAGGGCCATAGCACCGCCTCAGAGATCCCTTCTGCTGAAATACAGTACTCGGGAGTGAGTGAGGACACTGGGACAGTTAAGTAGCACCAAGTCCCGTTGCAATGATCTTCCTTCAGAATGACCTGTATGGAAAAAGGAAATAATGAAAACACATGGCTCCTTTCAGGCTGGAAAACACAGTCCCCGTATTCACGTTGCCCAAACACAGGGGAAAAAACACCCATGCGATGAATGTTGAGCAAGTCTGAAAACAGTGCCGGTATCCAATAGTAAGTCAATTGGTTACTTCAGCATAGCATGCTGCTATGAGTCCATCAAAATGTTCTTTACAGGGATTATAAATTTCAAACACAATTAGCTGGAATTGCTGCTAGTTAAGTCAACAAATATTCATTAGTCCTATTTCTATAATGCTAAAAACTCAGCCGGTGAGAGATTAAAGCATCCTACAGGAAGAATAACAAAGATATTACGCAAAGGCTGTAGCATCTCGTGGCAGTAATATGAAGAAGGGGTAGAAGCAATCTCTGGGAGCCGATCCTCATTCACCCAGCTGAGGTGCGTGGGTCACCTGTGCTAGGGCCTGAAAACTCAAAGGCACAACAGTGGTGCCTGACCTCAAATAACTTACTATACGGTGCAGAAGGGATGAGGAGGAAATGTCATAGAGTACTGAGTACTATGAGAGGGCAGCTATATGAACGACGCATAACCAGGCCATAGGAAAGGAAACAGTGCACTGCGTCAGAAAAGAAGTCAAAGGGAAGGTATATGCCAGTGAACACTGAGTGAATAAAAATCTGCCATAGAAGGCGAAGAAGGACATTCTACCGAAGAGCACACTACTTACAGGGAACTAAGAATAGGAAGTGGCTCACCAAAGCCTGAATGAAAACAAAAACTGGAAAAAATTGGGGGATGGGGTTGCTGGAAAGGATGTAAGAGGCCAAGTCATGAAGGCCTGCAGGCCATACCAGGAAGGAGAATTTAGGCATTATTTTGTAGCTGATGGTGATTTGTTAAAGGGTTTTAAGCAGTGATGTACTGTGGTTAGATGTTCACTTTAGGAACAACTCTGCTAGCAATCAAAGTGATGATTTAAAACCTAAATCAGATGTCACTCTTCTGCTTAAATTTTTCCAGAGGTGCAAAGCAACATCTCACTTAGAATAAGAGTCAAATCCTTTCAGTGCCCTGAGAGATGCGGCCCCCAGGGACCTCTCTGAGCGCATTTGCTTCCACACTCAGTGGAGACCTGCTGCTCCCTTCATGTGCCTAGTGCCCCTTTGCCATGCCCTTTGTCTGAAACACTCTCCTCATCTTCATCCGGGGAGCTGCAGGAAGAGGCTCCGCCAGCCCTTGCTCCAGTTAAGGCCTCGTCCAGCAGGGGACGTCTGCCCTGCCACCCTACAGAAAATCACTGTGCACCTAACCCCACTGCCCAACTCTCTTCCCTGCTTTTTTTCTCCATGGCACTTATCACTGGAGTTTTGTTTGTATTCTTCACTGCTCTCTCCTGGTGCCCGGCAGGCGCAGAGCACACACTTGGCAGGTGTTGTTAGATAAAGGAAAGGCAGCACCATGGCAAACGGATGGAACATAATGATTCTGATAAAAGTGTGGTCTGCGTAACCAGTGCCAGGATGTAATGATATCCGCACAGCACTACCATTAGCTTTTTCTCTCAAAAACACTGACTCCAATTAGAGCTACATGTGATTTTGTATTACTACCAATGAGAAAGAGTAAGCTAGTCTTAATCAGCCTACCGGTTAAGAAATGAAAATATCCAGGTTAATATCCTAGATTGGGGCTAAGCTGTTATACAAGGCTAAGAAAAAAAACCTCTTAAAGGTGTTTACCTGGGCAGTGTTAGTGATTAACTCCACCACCAACTGACTTTCTTACACTACATAAACAACTTACGCTAATGAGGGAAAAATTTCGATTGTGAAACAGTTGAAATGAAACCACATACCAGAGTCCCATTCACTCTCACATACACATTGTATGTGAATGTGTCACAATGTCCTACATCATATTCCTCTTCCAGCTCTTGTTCATAGTTACTGGCTAAAGGGTGAAATATATCAATAATGACTTGGTCTCCCTTTTTTCTGGTGCTCAGTTTAGGTGGTCCAATTTTCCCTGGTGGGGGTGGGAGAAGAAAAAAAGAAGTAGAATTAGTTGGCCCTGGAACTTTACAGTACATTTTATAAGATCACCAAAATCAATCAACCCACTCCTTTTGTTGCTGTTCTAAAGCAGCACCACATTTAAACCATTCAAAAAAGATCGGGAAGATACACTAAATATCCTTAATTAAAAAATGCTTACTATATCTCCTCAGTCAAGAAGTATTCTTATCTAGTATAAACTCCTCTTTAACACTTTAAATTCATTTTGAATCCTACGGCAAGACAGCTGGTCATGAATCTTGGTTTAAAAAAAAAAGAAAACCTTGACACACTGGAAGGAAAAATATTAAATTATTTTTCCTTCATTTTGGTTCTGTACATTTTTAAAAAATGGTTTTCTAAGAAACATTTCTAAACAGGCATTTTAGTTATCTTTAAAGCCTCAAAGAAACACTTTTTATCTTCAGCACCTATGAATGTCTGGCAAGAAGGCTGTCTAAAAGTTCACTAAATGCATTCAATTTTTTATTGTGAAAATCAGAATTAGATATTCATTCAACAAATATTTATCATGTGTCTTTGGGACTTTGTTGGTGAATCATTTAACTGTTCTTCACACATTTACTGTATACCTACTGTGTGCCGGGAAAGTCTGTTTTTACTCATTAATGTATCCTCAGGGCCTAGATTATATTCTGGCATAGAGTACGCCTTTAACACATCTATGTGGGGAAAGCATGACATGCAAAGGGTACAGTTAACAGATGACAAAAAACGTGACCTTGGGGAATAAAACTATTTCAAGGGCAAGTACAGAAAGGGTTGTGGGAGAGACCAAGTAGGCACAGTCTGAAAAGCAGGAGCAGCGGGACGTAGTGGTCGAAGAGATGAAGCCAGAGGCAGAACGAGGAAGGCAGTGACTTGGGAGGGCACAGCACTGAGAGACGAGAAGCTGAGGGAGGAGGCAGGTGACTAAAGGCTTCTTTCACTCAGGAATGAGGGTATGTTTAAGAGCCATAGGTAGGGTGTTAGTCAGAAAAGAGGAACTGGCACTGAAGACTCTGGAGCTGGAAGTGATGATAAAGATTGGGTACACTACAGCAATGGGATGCTGGAAGCACGAAGAGCTTAAAATGACTGGGATTGAAGAGATTATAGAATTGGAATAGTTTTTGAATGTTTGAAGTTGGTATTAAAATCCCCACAGGCCCTGAGGATTTAAGGGGATTTCCTCTCTAGGAAAGCTAAAAGCAGCTACCAAAGTCCTCAGGGAATAAAATTTAGAAAGGAATGACTGAGCGACAGGGAGGGGAGGGGCAGCGCAGAGTCTAGTTTGACAGCGCTGATCTGCACATTTATATGGAGCAGAAATGTAATTATTTAATAGGGGCAAAGTGATGGGCACCTCAGCCCTATTTTGGGGACTAGAGACAAGAGGAAAATGAGGACTCCCTAAATTGCTCCAAATGTTTCTAGGACATTATAATAATTTTTAGCAATTGCTAATAAAAAGCAAATATATATAGAAGACATGTGTAAGTACTCTCAAATTTAAAATTCAGATGTGTATACATTCTACTCACATTGTCTGCACAAAATAAATTCTTTTGACTCTGCAAAGGCCGATTCTTCTTGTCCAACCCTGGCTTTAACTCTGGCCCAGGCAGAATTTATTGGATCACCGATCATGTGAAAGATGTTGCACTGACGATGAGAGGTATTGCAAGCAGTATTCCATTCTCCCGTACTAAAATGAAGGAAAAGAAAGAAACACATCTCTGTCTATGCTTTGCTTTCTGTTCATAGCACGGAGCTGGTAGAAAGAGCTAAATAAGAATAGGATGGAGAAGCTGGACGGATTAGGAAGGAAACCCTTACTCTTTGGTTAGAAATACTACAAATTTCTTTTTTTTTTATTGTTTAATAGCAAACTTCTTTCTTTTTTTTTTTTTTGGTTGTTAAATATTTTTTTATTAATTTTATTTAGTTATTTTTCAAGTACAGTTTTATGTCTATTTTTCCCATCCCAGCCTCCCCCGCCCCTTGCTCCCCACCTCCCTCCCATTTCCACCCCCCTTAGTTCTCGACCCTGTGTCCTTCCTATTTGTTCCTCCAAATCCCTCCCCCTTTTTCCCCTTAACTTCCTTTCCTTCTCCCCTCTGGTCGCTATCCCCTTGTTCTCTATTTCAGTGTCTTTATTTTTTTTTTTCTGCTTGTTTGTTTTGTTGTTATTTCTTTACAATAAAGCAGCTCAATTCAAATGACAAGATCTGTACAACCACCTTCCACGTGTAATTTTTAAAAATCTGCTCTTTAGCCCTGGCCGGTGTGACTTAGTTGGAGCTTTGTCCCATAAACTAAAACGTCAAAGGTTCAATTCCCGATCAGGGCACTACCGAGGTTGTAGGTTTGGTCCCCAGTTAGGGTGCGTACGAGAGGGCAGCCAATCAATGTTTCTCTCTCACATCAATATTCCCCTCTCTCTCTCTAATAGCAAAGGAAAAAATGTCCTTGGGTAAGGATTTTAAAAAGTCTGCTCTTTAAACTGTAGTTTCCACGCACATACATCATTACTTAATTATAGAACCCAAAACATCATGAAGACTCCTGACACTTACCGACATTTTTTTTGACATTTTTATCTTTTTACTCAACAATAAGTATATACTACATAGAAAGTAAGATGACATTAGTTTTAATACGGAACTCTAAGCTTTATTTATTGTACCTTACTATCTGGGAAGTTAGTGATACTAGTCTACTGCAATTCTCACAGCAAGAACTAAGGGGCAGGAAGCACTCTGGAAAGAACTGATCTGCATCCTTAGCGAGCACTTCCGGAAACCTACAAGCAGTTCAGCACAGAGTTATGGAATGTGCAAGGACCTACACAGAAACAGAATGAAAAGGATAAGAGAGTAGTACTCACTCGTAGGTTTTAACCTGTACAATAAAAACTGGCGTCTGCAGCACGGTGGGGTAATCCCAGTACACGAAAGCATTTAAGTTATAGGCCTCGATAGTAACGTTGGTTGGCACAGGCACTGTAAGAGATTCAAAAAGTTAAGTAAACAATAGAAAGGGATTAACACTAGCATTAGCAAACCGTATAAGAAGCCATGTTAACCAAACAGAAAAATACATTTTTTTAAAAAAGTAGAGTTCATCAGAATAATAACAGTATTTAAATTTGGACTTCCGGCCAAGATTAGAAAGAGATTAACATTAGCATTAGCAAACCTTATAAGAAGCTATGTTAACCAAAGAGAAAAATACATTTTTTTAAAAAGTACAGTTCATCAGAATAATAACAGTATTTAAATTTGGACTTCCGGCCAAGATGCAGGCGTAGATAGAGACACTGTGCCTCCTTGCACAACTAAATTTAAGGACAACAAAGATTTAGAAACCAAAACATACCCAGAACAGACAGAAAATTGATCTGTAGCAGTCTGACGACAAGGAACCATTCATCTAGACAGGTAAGAGGGGCGGAGTTGGCAGCCAGTGGAGAGAGGGGTCCCTGCAGCAGGAGGCAGTGTTGTCAGACCCGGTACAGGGACAAATCGAGCAAAGCCAGTGAGACACGCAAGGTGGTTGGCAGACACACATTCGCCCACAGATAAACCAGGCAAAAAACGGTCAGTGAGACAGACCTCGAAGCCCAGGGCCCCAGCATAGGGAAATAAAGCCTAAAAGCACCGATTCAAAAAACGTTTGGGGGTCAAGGTGTCGGGCGAGGCTCCCAGCCTCACAGAAGAGTTAATTGGAGAGACCCACAGGGTCCTATAACATATACAAGCCCACTCACCCAGGAACCAGCACCAGAAAAGCCCAATTTGCTTGTGGGAAGTGGCAGAGGGGACCAAAATCCAAGAGAGAGTGGAGCAAGCGCCATTGTTCCTTCTCTGACCCCTCCCCCACATACAGCATCACAACTCAGCCACGTGGGTTGCCCTGCCCTGGTGAACACCTAAGGCTCTGCCACTCATACCTGACCAAAATGGCTCAATCAGAAGAACAAATCAAAGTCCCAGAGCCAATACTTTTAAGCGACCAAGAGATAGCCAACCTATCAGATGCACAGTTCAAAACACTGGTGATCAGGATGCTCACAGAATGGGTTGATTTTGGTCACAAATTAGATGAAAAAATGAAGGCTACACTAAGTGAAATGAAGGGAAATGCACAGGGAACCAAGAGTGATGGGAAGAAAACTGGGACTCAAATAAATTCAGTAGACCAGAAGGAAGAAAGAAACAACCAAACAAAAAAGAATGAAGAAACAAGAATTCAAAAAAATGAGGAGAGACTTATGACCTCCAGGATATCTTTAAACATTCCAACATTCGAATTATAGGGGTACCAGAAGGGGAAGAGGAAGAACAACAAGTGGAAAATTTATGGGAACAAATAATAAAGGAGAACTTCCCCAATCTGGCAAAGGAAAAAGACTTCCAGGAAGTCCAGGAAGCTTGGAGAGTCCCAAAGAAGGTGGACCCAAAGAGGAACATACCAAGGCACATCATACTTACATTACCCAATATTTAAATGAAGGAGAGAAAATCGCTTCTCGGCCTTTTGGCTAAGATTTAAGTGTAAAATGAAGGAGAGAATTCTAGAAGCAGCAAGAGATAAGGGGACAGTCACCAACAAAGGAGTGCCCATCAGACTGTCAGCTAATATTTCAAAAGGACCTTTCAGGCAAGAAGGGGCTGGAAAGAAGTATTATAACTCATAAAATGCAAGTACCTACATCCAAGATTGCTCTATCCAGCTAAACTTTCATTTAGAATGGAAGGGCAGATAAAGCACTTCTCAGATAAGGTCAAGTTAAAGGAATTCATCATCACCAAGTCCTTATTATATGAAATGTTAAAGGAACTCATCTAAAAAAAAAGAAGATAAAAAATATGAACAGTGAAAGGACAGCAAACTCACAGTTATTAAGAACCACACCTAAAACAAAGGCAAACTAAGTGGACACCTACAGCAGGAGCGGAGCCACAGAAATGAAGATCCCATGGAGGGTTAGCAACAGGGGAGTGGGAGGAGAGAGGGTAGGGAGAAGGTACAGAGAATAAGTATCATAGGTGGTGGGGAGAAAATAGGGAAAGGGCAAGAGTAGTGTGGGAAATGTAGAAGCTAAAGAACTTATGACACATTGACATGAACTAAAGAGGGGGGAATGTGGGTGGAAGAGGGTGTGCAGGGTAGAGGGGAATGAAGGGGGGAAATGGGACAACTCTAATGGCATAATCAATAAAATTTAAAAAGTGTTTAAATTGGGAGATTTCTAATTTTTTGAAAAAGGTATAGAAAAGTTCTGACTCATTTTAAATTACTGAAGTAGTACTGTATGTAGTATAAGAGAAACACAAATATGAGCTAATAAATTCTTATGTTTTAGGAGTTTGTTTTTTTGCAAAGTCCATAGAGAAGCTTTTAAAAAAAAATTTTATTGACTATGCTATTACAGTTGTCCCAATTCCCCCCCCCTTAACCCTCTCCACCCAACACCCCAACTCCGTCAGGCAATCTCCACACCATCGTTCATGTAGAAATGCACTGCCTATTGTAATAATAATCCTCAATCACTAGAATTTTCTACATATGATGCCACAGGTTGTATTCAATGTCTAAAGAACCAGCTACACCAGGGATGGCTAATTTCACTCTAAAATACCACCACCACCTCCACTCTCAACCCCACACCCAGTTCCATTAAACACCCTCAGTACCTTTTCCACAGCGCAAGAACGGGATGCCTAAAGACTGACAGAAGGAGCCCCTGACCATCCCAATCTCATCAATGTTTTGCTCTCTGGGTGTGCAGGGCTTTTAACAAAACAAATCCAGTATTTCTTGTTGCCTGTGCTCTTTTAAACAATTTCAGAAAACTTAGGTTGGTAAGATGTGAGCCATATGAAGTGACTTGAACATCTTTTCATCAGACAGACATCACCAAAACTGTAACCTGGTTATTAACAGTAGCCACTGTCCCCTGGTCTGTGTAAAAGGTTATTGTCTACCAATCCTAGGAAAAATGCATATATACACACATCTCCCCCTTCTGCTTTTCCTCCCTTCCTTTCTATATGAATAAACATGAAGGTATGAGATACAGTTAGTAATGTGATACAAAATGGAAAACTCTATGAAACATGATTTAAAGTAAATCAATGATGGCAATATGGCCGAGGTTCAGTGGCTTCCTAACATAACTTACCATCCTCCTCCAAAATTCTGAGAGCTACACGCACACTTTTTAAAGCACCTCAGATGATGATGATGATTACTCAGGTTTATATCAAGTGGGCTGGTTCTAGTAAGAAAAATACTCCCTGGCGAGGCATTAAGGAATCTGGGTTCTTTTCTGCTATACTACTAGTTATTTCAGATGTCCTCATCTGTCAGGTAAGGTGTTAATTTTACCCATATACAAGGGGGGATCCCAAAATACCAGAATTATCTTCTGGAGGGCAGGTCCCTTGTAGTACAGGCTTCCCCCACTAGGTGAGTGTTCTAGGAACCCATCTGTATCAGTGCACCAGCTAGTGTTTGTTGTGAGAAGCTGTGTTCAACTTCAGCGAAATTATTTTGAAGACTCTTTCAAAGTGCCCATTTCATGACAGGTGATTTACAAGTGTACCTGCCCACACCGAGCTGAGTGTTCAGCAGTTTTGGACCAAAAACAGCATGACTCCGGTGCCCCACCCTTCCTATTCACCTGATCTTGTCCATCTCTCCTGAGTGACTTTTTTGTTTCCGCAGATGAAAAAAGTCCTCACTGGGAAGCATTTTGCTGATGTGAAAGGGGTGAAACAAAAAACAGCAGAAACACTGAAAGGCATCAAAGTCCACGAGTTCAAGAACTGCTTTGAGTGGTGGAAAAAAGTCTCGATAGACGTACTGTACCAAACGGAGAGCACTTTGTAGGTGACAGCAGTTTAAAACACGTACGAGTAAGTACGCAATTTTTTATAAATAAATTCGAAGGTTCTTTTTGGTCCCTCCTTGTGCTCTGTAGACAGAGTACGACATTCCACAATTAGCTTACCAACCTTTGTATGGGAAGGGCAAACTGAGCAATAAAAAGAAGTGAAGGGGCCAGAATAAAGAGGCCAGTGAGGAAACTGTTTTTGTAGATCTGAAGTCACCTGACATCACAACTCAAAAATAAATGCTCCAAGTTAAAGCATCCAGACCCCTTCCTGAATGAGTAACTCGCAGATAAAACACCTAACACCCCCAAACTGAAGATGCAGGGCCATAGGTATTTTCACAAAGATTTCTTCTTACAGTGCAAACCGAGAAATGGCATGAGAAATCCAGATGAAAAAAAAGTGAAAAGTATCAAATCAAGACTATTACACTTTTTTCAGAATATATATTTTTCACAATCTACCTCCTGAATGGTTTTATAATGTTGGTAAAATGGCTATTTCTCTCAATGCTTCCCAACTTCTTCTCTTTTTATTTTTTTCTTTCTGTTTTCTTGGGACATATGAACCTATGGCATTATTTACAACATACAGCATGACTTGACTTCAATACGAGGCAAGAGAAAAGACAAATGATGTTTTCCTTGTGATGAGAACTTCTGGGATCTATCATCTTTCTTAAAAAACGTTTAATGTACCATATAGCAGTGTTAGCTACAGTCATCGTGCTGTACATTACATCCCCATACGACTTTCTTGTACCCGCAGAAGTTTCAGAACTAAGGCTCTGAGTGAGGACACCAAAAATCCTTCAAGTCTACTTTACTTTTTACATAGTTGTTCCTCAGCTGGGCCAAGCACCACAGTATCCCTGCAGTCTTCTCTTACTCCTGTCTGTCTGGCACCTCTCCTGGTTTTCTCATTCATTCTATCTTTTAAAATATTGAGCCCAGATGTGATGTAACAGATGTGAATGAAATACTTTCTTTCCCCTCTCTTTCTCTTTTTTTAAAGAGACAGGCATATGGGACAGTGGGTTATAGTGAACTTGTACTTAACTAACCCCCTCAGACCTTTCACTCAAACCACCACCAAGTGAGGCTTACCCAATAAACACCTGCTGATCCACTCTCTGACCTGAGCACAGGGTTTTACTCTTGCCTGTTTGTTCAACTTCATCTGCGTGGGTTTGCCTGGCATGCCAATGAATTCTAACTGGAAGTGACATACTCTAGTCTCTGGCAGTAAGTCATTTCTCAAGACTAATTTGGACTAAGTCATTCTAAGTTGAGAAATAATTTAGGAACTGAAAAAATAAAATAGGCCTTTTTAGTCTGTGCAAGGAAAAGGAAGAAGAACAAGTTAGCTGCTGAGCCTATTTTAAATTTCTCCTATTGATTTGGATGAGGTTTCTTTTCAACACAATTTCTCAGATGTAACTAAATAATTTATTACTTTAAAATATATTTGTAAAAATGATGACGCACATTACTGAAAGTTCCTATATGACAAGGGAAGTGTTCGACTTTTTTATGCATCATCTCAGCTAAGCACACAGACACCCTATGAGGGAAATATTATTATACATGTTTTTTACCAATGACAAAACAAAGGCTTAGAAAAGTTATCTAAAGTCTTGACAACATGTAAACTTTCATTGATTTTTTTTTAATTAAGCAAAGAAAAAAACCAAAACTGGGAACAACAAAATAGCAAAAAAATGCAAACCTATCAACAACTGAATAAAAAAATAAACAAACAAGAAGAACAAAAATAGAATCATGGATATAGAGAGTATTCTGATGGTTGCCAGATGGGAGGGAGGTATGGGGGTGGGGGAGTGAATGAAGAGGTGAGGGGGTTAAGAAGTACAAACAGGTAGTTACAGAACAGCCATGGGGATGTGAAGTACATTATAGGCAATGGAGTAGCCAAGAACTTATACCATAACCCATGGACAATGGTGGGGAATCTGCCTGAGGGAGGGGGGGTGCTGGGTGGAGGGGGGAAAAGGGAAAAATCAGGATAACTGTGATAGCATAATTAATAAAATATAATTTTAAAACATTATATTAAAATATATCTGCTATCGGAAGGAGAAGTGAAAAAAGCTCCTTAAGTGTTATTTTTATGACAGTTTAATAAAATAAGGGGGAAATAACCTCCATATATAAACAGGAATTGGAGATGGTTGTTTTCTGATGATTTCACAAGCACCTGCTCCATGTAATTTTGCCCAACTTACTGTACTATCTCAGTTAAATGGTGGCCACTGCAAAATCTGAACAGTGTATTAAATAGTTTCCTTAGATTGCACATTTAAAATGGACAGTTCCTTAATAAGGAAATGATAAATAAACTGACTTCTTCCTGTCAGAAACTCATTTAATTCTGGTTCAACTCTCATTCTCATTCATTACAATGGAACCATTAATTAATTACTCATCTAGTTCATACAACAGCTGCATTATTGCTGTGTGCTGCCAAATTTTACAAGATAGCTTTTTAAATGGGCTATTTTTCTCTTTAGTGCTTTAGGTATTTATTCATATAGAACTGAAATATGGAAATTGCAAAGTCCATATGAATCATGAATCAGAATAAAATGAGAAATTATTATTATTTGTTCACTAAGTATAATGAAAATGTATTATCTGAAATATCTCAAATCTTTGAAATAAATAAAAACAGAATCTAAAGAAAGTAATGAAAAATTTAAACACATGCAGAGCATTATCCTCAAATCGGAGACTGGGTAGAAGTGTAGCTGAGAAAGAAGAGAAGGCGAGTTAAGAGTCCTGCATCTGTGCTCAAGTGCAGTGTCTTCAGATAATAAGCAGAGTGGGAGATCAAACTGGAAGAAGTTAACCACTAGGAGGCACTGATTCACTTAAAATATATACACTACTTTAGTATGTAAAAGTGTCTGAAAAGTGAAGTACTACTAGTTATTAGATGGCACACATGGACTTACTTTCCCCATAAGTGCACTTAAGAAATATTAATGAAAGACCATACTGTAATATATTCCCAACCATTTGGATTTTTCACACTCTGGCTATAATCCTTTGCTTGTTTCCCTCTTCCTACCAGGTTCCCTCATCTATGATGAACTTCCAAACATACAGTCAAAATTGGCACTAATAAGAGTTAACACACTGAGTGTGTATTAAGCTCCAGGTACTGAGGAGTCAGGGAAGCTGAGAGGCAGACACAATGTCCCTGTGGGTTTTCTTCCTATACTTTGATGATTCTGCACTTTAACTTTAAAGGCAAAGAGAACACAACAGAACCCAGAGAAATGCACTGGATAAACTAGACGAGACTGTACTGGAAATGCACTGAGAAACAGTGGTGTTGCCAACAGCTGTGTTTACAAAATGCTGGCGTACAGAAGGCTACAGCAGATCTTTTCATGGCGGAGGGGCAAGCAATTCTACTCCCAGGGCCTGCTTCAAGGATGTCGAAATTGTGCAGTTCCAAGAGGCACCATGCTCAGGAGGGCCCTGTACTCTGAAAGGAGAGCCTGACAGTTGGTTTAACACTATGCCAGGAACTTGAGTCATCCTCTTCCTCTTTTGCACATCCAGTCACTGAGTCCTGCTGAGTCAGCCTTCTTCTATATGTTCGTCCAACTGACCTCTCCATTTCAACTGCCTCCTCCAATCGACTCCTCCCAGGCTTCAGCAGCTACCAAACTAGACTCCCTCCTTTGAGTCTATCTCCAAACTCTCTTACCAGATGAATGGTTTTTCTAAGTGGCATATCTAATCCCACACGAAAATCATTTCTCCTCTTAAAATAACCCAATGGCTGCCCACTGACTTGAGCAAGGTACACTGAGCATATTCTTTTGTTAATTCAGCACCTGTACTTCTCTCAGAAATGTTCCTTCTCTTCTAGGAACTCCCCTACTGCCATCCTCTGAAACAATGTACTTCCTGAGTAAGTTGGCACCTGACCCAAGCTGGGCAAATCACAGCCTTCGCTTGGGATTTTGTTAGGATGGAAGAAGCTGCAAAATTTCAAAACCCAAAGGCTGTCAACATCCACGACTGCTGCCAACTAAGGAAAGTTGTCAATGCTGAGAGTCAGTAATAAGAAATAGAGAGTCTTGGCAGTTCGATTTCCTGGCTCAGCTTTCTGGGGCCCGGCTGGCATCTCTACCTTTCTATTTAATTCCTGCTTAGAATCCCTGCGCCAATCAATTCCTCTTTTTGCCTAAGTCAGGCAAAGCTGTGTTTCTACCCCTTGTTGTTACACGTGACCATGACAAGGCACTTCATTAACTGGTTCCTACTTCTCCACTTCACACACATATTCTTCAATAAAATGATTAATATGCCACTAATTCAACATGCTGTTTCACACCTCTTTCGCAGCACAACAACCTCTGTAACCTCCAGTTCCAACTCTGGGGTTGTCTTCTCTGACTCTCCCGGTCAGAGCCAAGTTCCCCTATGTTCAAGCTCTTACTACAGCTACTCTTGTGGATGACGAACTTGACCTGTCAATAGCAGTTTGCAGAGTAGTTAAGAGCCTGGAGCCTGCAGCCCAAATCCCAGGCTCCCCACTGCGCACCGGCGACTTCTCCACAAGTTGGGTAGACTTTTCAATGCCTCAATTTCTAGTCCATAAATGGAGATATCAGCAGCGTCTTCTTTATAGGGTTGCCTTGCAAATGAGATGTGAGAACAACAGTGCCTAGCACTTAACCACTAGCTAAATAATCATGATCCTTGAAAACAGAAATTAAGCAACTCCCATTTTTGTATTCCCAACACCTGGTACAATGCGTTCCCCAAAGACTATGACTGTGTGTTTGCTTGATTCTTAAAGAACAAGCCAAAGGAGAGCTGGCTATAGATGCGGCACACCTAACAGTAAGGAGCTCATGGAGTAAGTTCTAATACAGAGCCTCAGACCCAGTCTGCTACGGATGATGGAGGTGGGCCTCCCTGACTGCTTGCGGACGAGTGCTAGCGGTGGATCCCGAGGAGACACTCAAGACTAATGGAGTTTCTAATATTTTAGGTTTATCCCTTTTGCTGAAGGGTTTACTGATTTTATTAGAGGTCCGAATAAATCACCATTACACCGAGCTTTAGAAAAGCGTATTCTCAGCATCTGTTTCCTGGGAAATCTCAATAAGCAGGCCGAAATAAACTGCTTCCAGGAACTAAGCTACACGAAGAGACTCGCCACCTGACAAGTATGGCTCGCACTGCAACTCGTAGACAAGGATGGCCAGTGACAGACGCTTAACTCTCAGCTGGCGAAAGAACAACTTCGCTCCCATTCCTAAGGATTCTGGGTTCCCCCTAAGAGTGTAGTATTAAGTCAAGACCTGTGGCCACAGTTTACAAATGCTGACCAAGAAACCCACACATTTAAAAATAAATGAGAAGAATTGAAGAACTGAGAGGAGTGTTTTGTCGTTTCTGCAACAACGGAAGAGCCCAGAGGGAACTGAGCCCGGAGGGAACCGCGGAGACCCGGGGTCGCCTTCCCGGCCGCCGCCCCCATAGGGCCCGACGCCCCAGAGCGTCCGCGAACCCGGCCAGCGCCCCGCCAGGCGGGGGTTCCCGACGAGGGCGGCTTCCTCTCTCCCCTCCCCGCCCCCATCCAGCCGCGGCCCCGCCGCAAGAGACTGTACCCGAGGACAGCTTCGGACCCACGGCGCTCGTCTCAGCCAAGCTCAGGACCTGAGTGATGAAGACGAGCAGAAGCAGAGCCATCCTGCTCCCGAGACGCCGGGAGCCGCCCCGAGCGCCTGCGGCGGTCCACCGGCGCGGCCCTCCCGCCTGGGCCTCACGTCACTTCCGCCGCCGGGGACCAGCGCCCGTGGAACCGGGGGTGGACAATGAAGCCGGAGGCGGGACTAGCCCCCGCAGGCCAGTTGTAGGGGGAGGCGGGGCGAGGGCGGGGCCGCGAGGCCGGGCCAGACGAGCTTTGGCTGGCAGGGCGGGTGACACCCACGGGAAGGGATCGTGGGCGGGAGAGTAGAACCAGAAGGCAAGGACAGGCCAGCTTCCCAGGATGATGTGCGGAACGCGGGTCCAAAGGTTTTTTCATCTTGACACCACGTACTGAGATTCGACTTCCTATTTCCTCAGTATTCTTGGGTTGCAGAACTTTGTCCTAGGCCACAACCCAGGCACAATCATTGTACTCCATTAGATTTAACCGGCAACGCATCTGGGAACCTGAGAGTTTACAACAGAAAGTTTACGTGCCTTCTCTAATCCCTGCATTTGTATTTGAGGAACCTGAAGCTTCACTGGTGAAATGTTTTGTGCAAACTTACACAGCCCGAGTCAATTTGGCTTGGCCAAAATCTACATTATTCCTGGCCGGGGTTGGGGGGCGGGTAAGGGGGGTGGGGGGAAGAGTGGCAGGAAACAGCTTTGCAGCAATTAAATATCAAACAGCAATTTATTCAGTAGCTTCTCATGAGATCTGCTCGCGTTCACATATGCTGTTAACTACCCATCTTCCCCATTCTTGTCCAGCCACGGTGGATGTGCATAAAGCTAACTTCCTCACCTGCTTCAAGTCTCTGCTTATCATGCTCTTTTGCAAAAATTTGAAATTACAGCCCACCTTCCTTTCTTTTTATCCTGGCTTACTAATTTTTCATGGCACTTAGCACCTTCCCCTACAGTCTACAATATGCGTATTGATATTTATTCTCTTGGGCTCCATAGGACTGAAACCGTTGGTGCTCAATAAGTAATTGTTGGATGAAAGAATGCATGAAACACCAGCGTTAAGCAACATTTTAGAGAGAAAAACCATATGAAAGTACTGCACAAACTCGAGAGGAATTTTTAGCTAGGTCATTTTATTTCTATAAATAAATCCCTTAGCTCAGTACTTCTCCATCTTCAATGTACAGGTGAACCACCTGGGGGTCTTGTTAAAATACAGATTCGGATTCCACAGGTCTGATTCAGGTCGTGGCTTGAGACACTATGTTTCTAACAAGATACTTGGGGTTGTCAGTGTCACTGGTTCTAGGGCCACACTTTGAATAGGCAGACCTTGGCTCCATCTAGTATAAGTTTTGGGGAATATTTTGCTAGATGTGTTTATGATACCACTATCTTAGTACACTCAGGCTGCTATAACAATATGTCATGGATTGGGTGGCTTAGGAAAAACAATTTTATTTCTCACAGTTTTGAAGGCCAGGAGTCTGAGATCAGGATGCCATCATGGACCGCTGAGGGCTCTCTTCTAGGTAGCAGTCTTCCTGTCGTAATGTCACATGATGGAAGAGGAAGGGATCTCTCGGGAACCTCTTTTATAAGGGCACTAAATCCCACTCGTGATTTAAGCACCTCCCAAAGGTCCAACCTCCTAATACCATCACCTTTCAGAGTTAGAATTTCAACATCTGAATTTTGGGGCATCATAGCGCTCACTATAGGAAAGGCCCTTCCAGTCACTGTAAGAATGCACAAATAAATAAGAGCTGATCTTTGCTGTTTAGGAGTTTATGGAGTAGGATAGAACATAATACTCAGTTCAGTTCAATAAACATTTTTGTAGCAGCCGCCACAGGTTGGGTGACCCAGGAAACAGTCTGTGGGGGGAGATTAGGACACAAGACATGCCCTTGTATGCTTTTTGGGTAGCCTCTTGAAAGAGAGGTGGAGGAGACAGGACTGGGCAGAGGCAGAAGCTGAACTGTGATCGCTGTAAAGGCTTCAGAGGCCCCTGGGTCTGCAATGGCCCTTCAGAGTTATCTTGAGTTGGTGTTGCAGACTCTGTCCAGCAGAGTCCGCCTGTTGTGGTTAACATGAGAATCAATGCACAGGCGACAACAATCCTGTGTGGAAAAAGGGAACAGGCACGACTACTCTCTCAAGGGGAGAGTGCCTATGGTGCCTCGGCCACTCCCTCAAGAGGGGAGCGCCACGACCCTTGCCTAGACAGGCTTTTATTGTTTTCCTTGGGTCTTACATCATAGAAAGATTTATTATCTATCACACAGAACATTATTGTCTACATTTTAGGTACAATGAAGAAATAAAAATAACATGCAGAGGGGGGTGGCAATGAGCTGATTAGCTCTGTCCTTGGGAGAGCTCACACAGGCTTTGGAAGTTACCTTGAGGATAAACAATATACATTTGTTGCTTTAGACCAGGGTGAGGGAGTTTTAGCAAGAACAAGCCATAACAGTCTGTGAGTATTTTCTAGGCCTGATTCCCACAGGAAAACTCGGTTTGAAGGTCTGGCTCCTGCCCACCACTTCGCTTCTGTAGGTTTTCCATACAGAGCTGAGTCACATTGCCAGGCCAAGACAAGCCGGTCCCCTACAAGTTGGTATGACTAGCTGGGCCTTCAATTGCCAGCATTGGTCAGACATTGGATGCAAATCATTCCTGAGAGTGCACATGATTTGGGGATGTCCATTTTTCTTTTTTTTAACTGAGGCATTCTCCGAAGAGTGCCGAGAGCTGAGGGTTTCTGCCAGTGATGGGGACTTGAGAGGCTAAGGCTTCTATTTCTCCCATCCAAGTACTAACCAGGCCCGACCCTGCTTAGCTTCCGAGATCAGGCGAGATCGGGCGTGTTCAGGGTGGTATGGCCGTAGACTAAGCCTTCTATTTCTGAAGGGGGATCTGCGCAGGGCTTCAGGGTCAGCCCCTACTACAGCAGACTGTCCTTGTGAAGCACTGTGCGAGTCACTTGTAGACTAAAGATACTTATTAACTCACTAAGTACTATTGGGTGCCACTGTGCGCTTGTCCAACATTGCTGCACACCGAGATATAGACCTGGACAAGACGGATAAACGCCTGCCCTCCTGGAACTCACATCTACTGAGGGATTAAACAAGCATTAATCAAACTATTACACAAATAGTTATTGAAAGTGTGGTCATCGTTATCAAGGAGGGCAATGGATTTACAGGAGCGTAAACAGAGACTTAGCTTAGTCTAAGTTTTAAGAAAATTCTTAAGGCAGTTACAATTATGTTATGAGGTGAAGGATAAGGGAGAATTAGCCTGGATAAAGCTGAGGGGTGGGGTGGGGAGTCATAAGTTAGTAAGAGAGGTAGGAGGATGATCAGTAAAATATATTTAAAAATCCAATATATAGATTTTATATAGCTACACAGAAAGCAAATGAGCAGTGCCCATTTCCTTGGTAAAAACCCAGTGCCTAATGGCTGAAGAATATCCCAGTATAAGTTGGTCCTACTCTTTCCTCTGTCCAGTTTTTACAAACCAGTGCGGGGTAAGGGGTGGATAATTCCAGAGCCGTGCAAACTGAAGTGCTGCTCAGGGGCAAGGCTACAGTTTGTAGTCCACACTCAACACAGCCCAGAGGAAGGAAGTTGAAAGGACAACTATTTGAATGGGGACAGGACTGGGTGTGCAGCGAAAACTGTGTATGTTTGTCTCCTGGTGCTGTGCATTTCCTTCTCCTCTTCACTGGAGCAGAAACGCCTGCCAGTTTCCCTTCAAAAGAGGCAGAATGAAAAGTCTGTGGCATTTAGCTCTAAATTCTGATGCTCTATAAATTATAGCCAATCTCCCTTCTCACTCTATCCATGCCTCCACACTGCCCCTTTCTTAGCTCTGTTTTTGCCACAGCACTTACTATCATTCACAAATATGTATTATATATTTGTAATATATGGCAGTCAGCATTACCCAAAGAGAACAACTGCACCTAGACAAGTGTCTAATCATTCCATTAATATTGAATGAGTGTTCAATATTTTGCAAAAAGTCTTCTAGTAGATGGCTTATCTTTGAGCACTGCCAAAGATAGATGCCATATGCAAGATAATGACTGTGACAGACACTTTCCATTAGGTGACCACTAATAACCTTTCTCACTATCTTTGCACCTTGTGGGCTTCTCACGATAGATGCTCTCAATGCTCAATACTCACTTTCCCAGCATTCGTGGGAGTTAAGCATAGTCCTATGACACAGTTGTAGTGGATGAGACCTAAGCAGGAGTCTTCCTGCGTGCATGCTTGCACGTGCAACAGATACAATAGGAGAGCTTGCTGCCCTTGCCCCTTCTCATATCTGCCTGCCTTCAGTGTGGACACGTGCTGCCTGGTTCTGCAGCAGCCATCTTGCAACCCGGAGGCAACACGATTGAGGATAAAAGTATCAACAGCTAAATGGAAGAATAGAAAGATAAGCCTGAGGTGTTGATTTTAGCCTCGAGCAGCTGTGCCAATGTCTGCAATGATCTACTGCTGGACTATTGTTATAGAACAAAAAATAAAGTCTTACTGATTTAAGCCATGGTTGGTTTTCCATAAACTGAGGTGAAGTTTTTCTCTCTCGGTGCCAGGCCAATCTAGCTAAATTCACTTTCAGAGAGCTGGAATGCAAACCACAGTGGAAGGGAAGCTGGCTGAGGGGAAGGGGGGAAAGAGAAAAGAAGAAACCACCAACTCAAGGACAGAAAGTAGGACACTAGGAGAGTAAGCAAAGAAGAACCCTGTTGAGGAGAAAACGAGTGGCCCAGGTCTTGGAGCTGCAGCTGCCGCCAGAAACCTGGCAGCACTTTTTGTACCCTGAACAGTGTCCCCTCACTGCAGCCCCAAAGGACCAGCTCACAGGTGACTGCTTCCTCTTCTGACTTTCCCACACAGCTTCACCAGACTCACCTGTCACTAAGGGTAATCTGAGTGTCTCTGTCCTTGTGACTAAAGGAGCCCACCCTTTCTAGGTGGGGCAGTCACGTGTGGTCAGTCTCATAAAGGAATGCGACCATGGTCTTCTAGAAAACACTCTTCACATCACATAAAACACTGGTCCAGAGAAACTTGCTGCTAAAAAAGGACTAAGCCACGTGGAGAAGCAGG